TCGCCTCTCGGGGCCCACGGGCCCGGCGAGGGGTGCGACTACTCCCCTTCCCACAACCCCCTGGAGGTGGAGGCGCGGTAGCCCCGCGGGCCGGGCCGCCCGGGACAAAGACCCTTCTACAAGTGCACTGCTGGTGACTGTTCCAAGCGTCCGTTTCTAGAACTCAAGCACAGCTCTGCGCCAAGAGCTTCCCCACCGAGGCTCGCGCTCGGTGCCCGGCTTTTCTGGGGGTGATACTTAGTTTTCCAAGTTTGAGATTAGGCTTTTGGGAAAAATTCAACTTTGTATGTTTTTCCCACAGGTGAGAAGCATTTATAATAGATTTGTATTTTTTTTAGTTTTGTGCTCTTTAAACATTTAAAAGGAACAAATTTTTGCTTTTTTAGTTTGGATCTGCAATTTGACCTAGAGCCTTAGGGCTTCCTTGTCTTATTTATGGAGAAAATATGGTCATTTTGTCCAACGCACTGTGAACCCCTCGGCCGGGCAGGGCCTCCCTTGGTTCCTGGAACCGAAGTTACAGACATGTAATGATGATGTAAAAAGCTTCGTTCTTTGCCTTATTCTATTATGCAGAAGTGTAAGAGGATTTCTTTTTTTTTTTTTTTGATTGTTTTTTAAAAAAAAAAACAATGAAACAAGTGTAAATAGTCTGTTAATATAAATATATGAGGAGATTAAATTCCTAACCGAGGTGGAGTTTATACATGTCTGGAGAACCCTCTGGTTACTTGTCCCGCTGCCGCACAGGCCCCATAGGGAACAGGACGGGAGGACACGACAGGCAGACACAGCCCCCGAACCCACATCGGTTACCGAGACTGTGCCCGATGGATGGGCATTGCTGGGGGGCCAGCCTGACCTCGCCGCCGTGGGCTTCTGCATTCCCTCTTTGGTATTTCCAGCCCTGCGTGCCTATGGGCCTGCTGTCCCGAGGTTGTCTTCATGTTGGGCTGTGGCAGGAAGCAGCGCTGATTTGGGGTGAGGAGGAGCGTGGCTGAGGGGTGGGCCCTGCTGGCCTGGCCCCGCCCACTGCCACGTCCCTCCAGCTCCAACTGCCCCCCACCCCCATTGCCCCGACTGTAACTGCCTCCTGCTGCGCCAGCAAAGTCCACCAGAACCCTTGTGGCTCTCCTCCAGCACCTTGCCTGTTCTCCCAGCGCGGAGTCCGTGGGGCACACGTCCCTGAGTACCAGCCTGCCTCTTGCTACTGCCCTGGCCCCAGGAAAGCCAGGACCCCTGGCTGCAGAAACATCTGGGGGAGCAGCTGCTGGTGGGATCATGGCCCCCCCGAACCCTCTGTGGGAGCCCCCACCCCACCTCATCTCCCTGCCATCTGCCACTCCCTCACCGCAGCCCAGTTCTGCGGTCTGACCCAGAGGGATGAGCCATGTAGGCTGAGTAGACCCAGAGCTTCCCTGAGAGGGGCCTGACAGACAGGTCTGAGCCCCCTACGCTCACATAGAGGTTCAACCTGCAATCTGGGCTTCAAGTGCTTGCTCAAGCCCAGCTGTCTGGTGAGTTACAGTCCCACTGTGGCATCTCTAGGGGGCCCAGCTAGGCCCCACAACCTTGGGCAGGCAGGCCACGGTGTGGAAATTGTGCCTATGGCTGTGACCCATAGCCGGGGTCCCTGGACTGTGGAAGCTGGCATCCTCACCCCTCTGGGGTGCTAGTGATGTCACTAGTGTGATAGCATGGGAATCTCCACCACCAGGTTTTCTTTGATTTTAGTGGCTGAATTTTTGAACCAGACAGGTGCTCAGTGCTGCGACATCCTATCTGTGGAGTTGACCTTTGTGATGTCACATACAAACCTCTGTGTCTATTGACCACATTTTTTAAAGATTTATTTATTTATGCATACAGAACTGGGGTACAGGCCACAGGTGCAGGGGTGGTGAGAATATCCACCACAGAGTGGGGAGCAGAACTGGCCGACTGATGAAGTGCACTGCTGAGGGGAGCAGGGGACACCTCAGGAGAGATCTGCTGTGTCATGTGGGCCACCTCTGGGTCCGGGGATCGAACTTGCACTGAAGTGGCTGCAGCTGGCTTTTGAGAGCCCCATTGACCTGCATTTTTGTGGAACTGTCCGCATTGGTTTTGGGGCAACAGTGTAGCCTGCCCCCTCCTGCCACCCACCCTGGCAGTGGCCTGGCCCCGGCTCCTGGGTTGGTAAGCCAGGGCTGCACTGCCAACCCCACCTTCCCAGGTGCCCCCTCCCCATCCCCTCATCAAAGCCCAGGCAGAGGCACAGCCCCTACCGCTGGCCTAGAGCACCCAAGCAAGATAAGAGCACCCAGGAGATGTCCCAGTGGACACGCCCACCTCAACTCAGACTTTGGGTGGGCATGTGAAGATGGGGAGTCAGTCCCACCAGCCAGGCTCCCCCAGCGCAGCAGTCAGAAAGGGCAGCCTGGGGTGGGGGTGGGGCAGCATCAAGCCCAAGGCAGGGTCACAATCAAGCCACAGAGGAGCCCTCTGGGACCCCTTCCCGTCCAACACCCGCTCTGTCATCTTGACTTCTCACCCTGAAGAATAGGGGAGTGCAGCCCCCTTGGCTTACGCAGAGCCATTCAGCATGGATTGAACCACCACAAACCCGTAAGTGAATACAATTTTTAAAAAAGATTTATTTATGCATACAGAACTGGGTTACAGGCTGGAGGGGCAGAGGCGATGGGGAGTCACCAGAGACAGAGTGGGGAGCAAAACAGGCAGATTGACGAAATACACTGCTGAGGGAGCAGTGGGGACACAGGAGAGGTCTGCTGTGCCATGCGGGTCACCTCCCTGGCCAGGATCAAACTCAAGCTGAAGCAGCTGCAGCTAGCTTCCTAGTGCTGCTCCTTAACCCACTGTGCCACCAGGGACAGCCCTCCATAAGTGAATACTTCCATGCCCCTATATTTCTGTTGATGCAGCATCTCTGCTGAAGTGGATTGGTGCTCAGGACAGGCGGTAAGGCCTGGAGCTACTTGCTAGGATGCTGGGCCTCACTGGTGTGTGACAAGTTAATTGTGAACACAGGAATTTCATTCTATCTTTTTGTTTCTTCTTTTGTTACAGGGCACCCCAGTGTGAACTGGGCTGCCTGTCTGTGGGTCTTCACCTGCACACTTGAAATTTAGTTATACTGTAGGCACACACAAAAGGGTCAATAATGGGTTTATTTACAAAAGTGGAAAGGAAAAGGAACAACCCAGGAAAAGAGAGAGAGATACAAAGTAACTAGAATATCTTACCAGCTTGGCTGATCTAGAGCTCTGGTAACTAACTGATAGCCCCCAGTCACGGTCCCAAGGGTCCTGAGAGCTGTTGTCCCAACAAAAGAGAGCTGTTGAAAATGACTCCCTATTTATACCCCAAAGTCCCAGAATGCCTGCTTAGCTCCGCCCTTGCGTCCTCGCAGTTCTCTCCCTGGTACTGCTGGGAGTTGTAGTTTCCAGTCACTGGAGTAGGGGGTGGAGTCCAGAAAGCTGTAGTAGGCGGGTAGAGTCTACTCTGTAGAGTTCCTTTAGGACATCCTTCCCCTTAACACTTTGGCAAGGCCATTAACTAGCCACAGGGAGGATCTGCCGTATAGAGGATTCTGGCTTTTGAAATGTCATGGCCCCATTCATAATGGTGTCTCTTCCAGGAGGTGTGGACACTTTCAGATCTCTTGTGCTTGAAAGCTGAAGGGGCCCAGACTTTGACACGATGTCTTGTTTTCACCTTAAACTAATGCTATATAATGCTATGGATTAAACAGAATAAATTTCCAAATGAAAAAAAGGCACAATATGTTTATTCTGATTAAAAACTAGCAGGAGCACAGATTCAGGCTAAAAAATCCAAATGCCCCCACTGAAAAAATTGAGGTGACCTTCACATTAACACAGATGCTACTGCTCAGCCCATGCCTGTTTGACAGGCAGGAAATCCATATTTTCATCCTTACATCTTTGTCTGTGACTACAGTGGAATTCTTAAGACTTTTTAAAAGTCATACCAGTTACTTTTCAACGGGTGAGAAACAGGTTGTTGATTTCAGCAATGGTGTTTTTATTAGCTTCATTTGACTGGCTCTGATTTACAAAAAAGAAAGAGAATTGGTTCTCCCTGGTGGCTTCAAGGGGTTAAATCACAGCACTATGAAGCTATCCACAGCCACAGCAGTAGGAGTTCCATCCTTGGCCAGGGAACTGACCCACAAGACAGAGAAGACCTCTCTCATCTCACCTGCTCCCCTCAGCACTGGATTTCAGTAGATGTGCTTGTTCTGTTTCCTTCTGTCTCTGATGAATTCTCTCTCTCTCTCTCTCTCTCTCTCTCTCTCTCTCTCTCTCACCCCTCTGGCCTATACCCCAGTTCTTGTGTGCATAAATAAATATTTCAAAAAATAAATAAGGCAATTGTGTACATGATAGAACATTTGAAAGTAGAATAGAATATAATGAACAAGTCAACTATGATTTTTCATCAAAAGATAAGTACTTTTGTTAATTAGCTTAACTTCTTCCCAATATTTTCCAATATGTTTAATTGTGAAAGATAACATTTTTGTGTAAGGGCAGGTACTATAAATGTAGAGTTTGAGAATTACAAAATGGCCTTCCAAAAACTTCCAGATCAAAAAATATAAAATCAGGCCCTTCCTGGTGGCATAACAGCACTATGAAGTTTGAATCCCCAGCTGGGGTAGTGACCCACATGGCACAGCAGACCTCTCCTGACCTGTCGGCTACTCCCCTCAGCAGTGTATTTCAATCAATTTGCCTATTCTGCTCCCCATTCTGTCTCTAGTGAATCCTCTCACTGCCCCCCACACCTCTGACCTATACCCCAGTTCTTGTATGCATAAATAAATAAATCTTTAAAAACAATAAAATACTGCCTAAGTATGTATTACTACATGTATAATCAAAACATGGTTTTAATCTTGTCTATGTTTGAAACGTAAATTAAATCATAGTATGTTTATTTTGTATCTTGACTATTTCACTCTGTAATATGTAGGCAAGATTAATCCACATTATTGGATGTGTTTAGAGCCTAATTGCTTTTCCTGCTGTATAGTATTCCACTTGGTGCAAAGTAATAATTTTCCATTTGTTCTACATACACACAAGGGTTAAACACAGTATATCTCCTTAATATCTTCTTTCTGTTCTTTAATAACTATCTACACTTTTATATTCTACTTTTATCATTTAACATTGTGACTTTCTTTCCAGATCATTAAAAACCATTCAAAATTATTTTATCTAACTACTACATCTCATTTATGTATGTACTGTAATTTATTTAGCCATTCCCTGTTTGTTTCCAATCATTTGTTACTGTAAAGAAAGTTCTGGGGAACATTTGTCCACATAAAAGTTTTTAGCTGTGCTTGAAAGCAACTAGGTCATTTCCCAAAAATAGAATGAAATTTCCTATTTATTTTCTGAGTTCAAAATTCTCTCAGAAGGCTGGTCCAGGCCCTACCTGGTGGCGCAACAGGTTAAAGCTCAGCACTATGAAACTCTCCACAGCCATTGCAGCATGAGTTCGATCCCCAGCCAGGGAGGTGACCCACGTGGCGTAGCGGTCCTCTCCTGACCCCTCCCCCATTGCTCCCCTCAGCAGTATACTTCCTTGATCTGCCTGTTCTGCTTCCCACTGTTCTGCTCCCTCTGCACTTCTGACCTGTACCCCAGTTCTGTATGTATACATAAATAAATCTTCAAAAGAAAGAAATAGCGCGGTTCCTCTTTCAGCCGGCCCTCGCCAGCATCTCACTCCATCCTTGGGTCCACAAGGCCTGGAGAACACCCCACCCAAAGCGCCCCTTCCCCATCACTCCCCCTTCGATTCGGCTCCACCCCTCCCGATCCCGGCGGCGCCGCCGACACCACCACCGCCACCAGGCGGCGCCCGTTCCTCCTCCTTGTACCCAGGAGCACCACCTTCCTTGGCCCTTTCGGCCCCGCTCAGCCATTACATCATTATTCTGCGCTTTTCCCGTGAGTTAGGAAACAGAAAGGGTCGCAAAGGTAGAGGCTACTAGGAGCGGGAGCAACGGGCGCCGCCTGGTGGCGCAGACGGGAAGTGCTTCCGAGGTGGAAAATGACAGTCCCAGGGGCCGAAGGGGCGGGACCGGGGATGGGCGGGCCGAGGGGCAGGACTGGACTAGAGGGAGGAGCTAGAGGAGAAGAGGGCCAGTGAGTGGGATTAGAAAGGGGTAGACCCGAGGAGTGGACTGGGGCGTATGCCCACACTCCTCCTGTGGCCATGGGGGCGCGGCTGTCGCCTGTGGTCGCTGCTTATAACCCGGAGCGTGTTTTTAAATACAAATAAACTCGTTTTGCCTTTCAAAGACCACCTGATATTTTCAGGGATGCTGTTTGTGGAGGAGACACGGTCTGGTCTCTGGGCCTCCCTGTGAGTGTGAACGTTCCCACCGTCGGGGGCTGCGGAACTGAGTGGGAATGGCCACCTGAAAGCGCCCAGTGAGGCCCTACCCCTGCCTGGCCCCCGCCAGGGGCCCGGCCCGTCCCCCTGCTGCGCCTGCAAGCTCACCGCTGCCTTGCTGTGCCCTGCCTCCCCTGTCCCACCCTGGCACTCGGTGAGGAGGGGGAGGTGAAGCTCCCACTCCCACTCGCCGGGTTGGGGTGGAAAGTTTGAGGGGGAACTCGGGACCTGCCGGGAGGTGCACGGGGCAGCAGAACGGAAGGAATGCGCGCCCCCTGGTGGCCAAGGTGGATAACGACAGTCCCAATGCGGAGCAGGGCTGAGTGGGCGGGGCGAGGCTCAGGGCGGGAGGGGTCCAGCGGGACCAAGAGATTTCCAAGCTCTTCTTGCAATCCTGGAGGCGCGGCTGCTTGGGGGAGTCGCATGTATCCGCAGCTAATAACCGGGAGCGTGTTTTTTGTTTGTTTGTTTTAAGGATTTATTTATTTTGTATACAAGACAGGTGAGAGGAATGGGGGTGGGGTGGGAGGTGGGGAGGAGTGTGTGAGAGAATTCAGCAGAGACAGGGTGAGGAGCAGAACAGGCAGATTGAAGTACACTGCTGAGGGAGCAGGGGGCGGGTCAGGAGAGGTCTGCTGTGCCATGTGGGTCACCTCCCAGGCCGGGGATCGAACTTGTGCTGCAGTGGCTGCAGAGAACTTCACAGTGCTGCACTTTAACCAGTTACTTCACCAGGAAGGGCCCCAAGCATTTTTAAATACAAGTAAACACGTTTTGCTGGTTCAAAGACCTTCTGACATTTTCACGAACGCTGTGGAGGACACGTGGTCTCTGGGCCTGCCTGTGAGTGTGAATGTGCCCACCGTGGGGGACTTGGGGGGGCTGGGTGGACGTGGCCACCAGAGCGCTCCCAGGGCAGTCCCGCCCCTGCTGAGCCTGCGCAATCGCCCACAGCCCTTCCCCCCTCCTCCACCGCCCCCAACCTCCCCTGCCCCATCCTCCCCTGGCACTCTCTGAAGTGAGGCTCTTGCTATCCGGAGGGCCCCCCCTTGTCCCTTTTGACACACCAGGAGGCGCCCACCACCTTCCAGTCGGACCACAGTGGGGGGAGCAGAATGTTCCGGGGTGTCCCTGGCCCCTGGAAATGGACCGCGGGGCACCTTTGACCTCCTGCTCGCTGATTTTTCTCCTGTAAGCGCTCAGGGGACTGAGGCGCAGGTCACTCCCGAGCACGTCTTCCGGGCGCGCTCACCGTAAAGGTTCTGAACAGAGCAGGAACCCGGACTCCTGATCCTCCAGTCCCAAGAAAGAGCCCCCAACATCCAGGCCTCCCTGACCTTGGTTCACCACCACCCCCATGGTTGGGGGGGGGCCTCCGAAGTCTAGGAAGCAGTGTATAAGGAGATACTCCCCGCCTTCTCCCTCCCTGCTCTGGGCTCCCCTTCTCCCCAGTTCTAAACCGAGACTGCTGCCCCAGCCAAGTTTCCCCAGGGACCAGGTGGTTCCCACTGCAGTCTCCCCCTCCTACCCTCTCCCCCTCAGATGTGGGATGTTATCAACTGCCATGTCCATATTGCACAGATGTGCTGAGCTTGGGATGACAATATTGATTTCCATGGAGGCTGGGACAACTGCATCTTCCACACAAAGGATATGGATAGGGGTCAGAAAAGGCATCTGTGGAGGGCCTGTGACCTACTTGTTAAAGGCTGAAGTGGACTCATCTAGAGGGAAGTCTTTGTGGCCAGAGGTGAAATCTACTCTTTCAAGAAGGAGGTTTTTCCATAGTGTTGACAGTCTTGGGTTCCTTGAAAGGCCTCTGGCTCTTTCCAGAGAGATTTCCTCTTTCTTCCAAATTCTTTTTTAAAGATTTGTTTATGCACACAAGAACTGGGGTACAGGCCAGAGGTGCAGGAGGTGAGAGGATTCACCAGAGACAGAGTCGGGAGCAGAACAGGCCGACTGACTGAAATACACTGCTGAGGGAGCAGTGGGGAGACAGGAGAGGTCTGCTGTGCCATGTGGGTCACCTCCCTGGCTGGGGACTGAACTCACTGAACTCACTTCACAGTGCTGTGCTTTAACCAGTTGTACCACCAAGGAGGGCCAGACCATAGCTCCATAGCACTAAAACTTTAACCCCTGAGCCACCATGGTGACCCACTTCTTTCACTCTGAGCACCCATTTCAGTCATGAGGCTCCTGAAGGGGAGGCTTCTGAAGGGGAGGCTTGGTGAGCTTGCCACAGGACAGCCCACTCTTAATCTCCCAGCTGGGGATCCACAGCCCTGTATACAGCACCATCTCCTCTCCACTGTGGAGTTACTGCTGATTCCCTCAGGTGTGGAACGTGGGTGATTTGTTCAATTCCCTTCTGTTTTTCCTTCTTCTTAGAAAGAGGGTGAACTAGCCACAGGAGGCATCTTTCAGCTGGGTCAGCTGAGGTGTTAGGGAATGTCATGGCTCTGTCCATCATTTTGTTTTTTCTTCCCACAGGTCCAGATACCTTTCATATCTCCTGTGTTGGAAAATGTGTCTTGTTGCTCTTTCTTTCATTTTTTAAAAAGATTTATTTATTTACGCATACAGAACTGGGGTATAGGCCAGAGGTGCAGGGGCGGCGAGAGGCTTCACCAGAGACAGAGTGAGGAGCAGAACAGGCAGATCAGCGAGGTACACTGCTGAGCCGGGTCAGGAGAGGTCTGCCACGCCATGTGGTCTCCTCCGGGGCAGGCGGGAATTGAACTCATGCGGAAATGGCTTTAGCTTCTCAGTGCTGTGCTTTAATCCGCTGCGCCACCAGGGAGGGCCTCATTTTTTTTTTTTTAACTGACATTATCTGAGCCCTGTGGGTTCTACAGAGTAACTGTATCATTGCAAAACTTTAACCAAAGGCAAAAAGTATTTATTTGGATTCACAAACAAGTAGAAGCCTAGGTTCAAGCAAGAAATGCCCCCTACACACCTAATAAAAGGAGGTGACCTCCACCGAAACCCCTGATGAGCTGCGCTGCCCACACCTGCTTATCAGAGAGAAGGCTTTCTTTTCAAACTTCAGTGTTTTTCTAGAACCACAACAGAACTCTTCAGACTTTGAAAATGATCTTCCTTTTCACCTTTCTAGGAGCAGAGCAGTCACTGTGTGCTCATTAGCTTTAGGGGATCAGTTCTGACCCTCCAAGGGAGTGATGTCTGTGACAGAAATTTGAGAAGTGGAATCAGGCAGAATGTCCACTCATCAACGGTGAATTTTTCTTCCAAATATGGGTATGATGATGAAGTAGCTTCCTTTCTTCCCAGCTTTTCCATTAATTTTCATGGTGAAATAGCTAGAACACCTGCATCTAAAGCCAGAAAGTAGAAATGAAGAGCTTGCGAAAGACGGAATGAACTCCCATGAGCTGGGTCAGGAAACATTCCATTGTGTCATATCATCCTCTTGCTCCCCCGAGGAAGCTCCCCATACCTAGGTCACAGAAGTAGACATGGATATGATTTTCATTTCATCTAGTGTTCAGAATGACAAGAAATCCAAGGATGTTGATTTTCTGTATCGACTTTGACTCTCCACAGGCAGGTGAGGTTAGCCACCTGCTGGAGCGGAGCCTCCTTGCTCTGTATACGTCTAACCATCCACTTGATGCACAAGCATTTCCTCAATCTCTTCTACGTCCACAGCCAGTGTTTCTTCTCTTTTCTTTCCATTCTGGAATCACCCCTCTCTGTAGGATGTTCCATTCTCCTTTCATCATGGAATAGAGTACCCAAGCCTTTCTCAAGTCCTCACAATGTCTTCCTTTAGCAGGGTTGTGCCAGATGGCCCTGCCCCTGCCTCTAGGCTGGCTGTGCATCTGGTGATGGATGGACCCATTCCCTGGGGTTTTCCTGGAGACTATTCCCAGGATGCATCTATCTCCAAGACAGGGTAACATTTGGTCACCTTTATTCTTAGGTATGTTGCAAACGCTTCTGGATTCATGTTTCCCAAGCAGAATGACTCTTTCCATTGCAAAGGAACTCCTCCATTACTGCAGAAGGTCGGTAGATGATGCTGTCAGGGTGGGCTTGTCCTCCTTGAGCCATGTCACTCCCTCTAGCAGTTTTCTTCAAGGCTTTGGACACAAGTCTCCCCTGCCCCCTCACTCCCCTCCCTGCTGCCCGCGCTCCATTACTCACTTTCCTGCTCGGCTCCCTCCCAGGGCCTCTCTGTGTTCATCTCCACTGGCTATCGTGGACCTGTTCCTCTCCTTGTCGGCCACGGCCGCCCCTCGGCCCCGTTCCCCAGTATTCTCCGCGACTTCCTGGGGAGGCCGGCGCCCGTGGGTGGGGGGCTCGCTCTCGCTCGTGTCCGCTTTAGCCCTGTCTCCCCTCCCAGCCCCTGGCCGGCTGGCCAGCGCGTACCCCTCCTCCAGCGCCCGCTGTGTCCCCGCAGCCTGTCGTTCCTCGGCTTTGTTGCTGACTATTCCCTCAAAGTCAAGGGCACTGCCTGGTGGGGACGTCTGGGGGAAGGGAAGGGGACAAGGAGGGAGAAGCAGCTGCGTCGAGGGGGGCAGCGCCCCCTGGTGGCGCCGGAAGGGCAGTGCGGCCGGAGAGGACGACGGACGGTGGGGCCCGCGGCAGCGGCGGTCTGAGGGGCCCCGCTTGGGAGGGACAGGACACCTGACACTCACCTGGCCGGAACCTAGGGCAGAGCGCCCAGAAAGAAGCTCACCTGACGCCTCGCACCGGTCAAGACTCGCCCAGGCAAACGGGGGAGAGCAGGAGCTGTCAGAGAGGCCCGAGGCCCTAGAAATTTGCGACCTCTGAGAGCCTGCTGACCGGACCGAGCCTGTGCTAGGGCTGCGGGAGAGCCAGGCCCCATTGCCCGCCCGGCCACCAGGGCCTCTCGTGACACTACTTTGTCGAGGGTCAAAGAACATGCCACCCAGATGAATTTCACCTGCTCCACTTTACTTTTTATCGTGGAGGTGTGGGGAGGAGGGAGGGACACTGAACCGCCCAGCACTTCTCCCTGGGCACGCTGAGTCCAGGATAGCCCAGCCCGGTTGGCTCCCCGAGGCACAAGGAGCAGCCGGGGTGGGGGTGGGGGGTGGGGTGGAAGGGTGGTTCAGGCTTCATGGGGGAGGTACAAACAACCCCACACAGTGCAGGCCGGAGGCTGGGGAGCCGCCCCAGGATGCCGCGGGGCATGGGTTTCTCTGGCCGCTGGGGATGGAACCCCAGGAACAGACGAGGCCTCGGGTGGAGCAGGGGTCATGGGCCAAAGGGGCAGCTCCACATGTCAGTGAAGCTGTCCCTGAAAATGCACGCGTGATCACAAGATTCCTGCCGCTGCCCCGGCGCAGAGCAAGGGTGCAGACCCCAGAGGGGTAGAGCTGGGGGAGGGGAGGAAGAGTTATGGGGAGGACAGTGGGTGCGTCGCAGGGGTCTCTGTCGGGGCTACTGGGGGTAAGAGTCGCCTGGCCGGGACTATTGGGGGGGTGGGGTCGCCTGGGCCACGGTAGCTCGCAGGCTCGCGTCGCCACCTGGTGGACACTCTAGGAACCGCAGGGACGAGTCACCCCACGACTGGTGGTTCCCTGTGTCGCAGGAGCAGCGAACCAA